GAGTGAAAAGTCACTACACAGACTATTGCCTTCAGCAGGTGCCATATTGTACCAAAATAGCTGCTCCTTTCTCCAAAGAAGTGCAGGCAGCGGATTTCTGCAGCCCTGAAGAGTTGGTTTCTTTTAGCAGCCAGTCCTTGTAAGGTTCCTCTCTGCACCTGGGCTCCTACTGCCCAACACCAAGGTGTCAGGTATCTTACAGTGATTTCTTGTGATGGATGCTTGTAATTTATGCTCTCTGCTTTGATTTCTTCCAAAGCACAGATCTGTACCTCTCTTGAGAAGAGCCATTAATGGTGGGTGTTTTTTCTGTAAAGTGCTTTTATATTTTTGTTTCTACACATAGGATATTTTTGGCCCTAAACCATGTTTCAGACTGATTTGAGGTTCAGAGCACTTTGCATATAGTTCATGGACATCTCTGTGATGCACTTTATCAGTGGGAAAATGAAATCACCTACAAATGTTTCTGATGGATCCTACTTCTTTGATCCTTTGATTTGGGACTTCAACCATGAGATAACCTTTATCCTTTTGCTGATAGAAAAACTCCCTGGCAGAAAACCAAGCCATCGTAAAGGGAGCTGATTAGGAAGTGTTTGAAGAGTGGTGTTGGAGCCAAGGAAATAATGCATTCCAAGGCTAGCTGTAGCAAAAAGGCTATATTACTACTTTATTCTGGTGTGATGTGATGTCTAGCAAAGGTTTTAGTGGCAATGTATAGCTAAATCAAGCTGGCAGCGTATAACTGATCAAGACATGGGGGGAAATAAAAAAAATTTTTAAAAGTGGGACACAGAGCTGATGTAGACAAGATAGAAGAAGGCAAAATTAGCTGGGGGATACGTTGTAGCTTTGACCATTTCTGTTTCCATTTTAAATATCTTACCATTTATTTCAAATTTCAGAAGGGATTACTGCATCTGCCTGCAAAAGGAAGAGAGTTCTCCCCCTGGTTTTAAAACAAGCTTCACAGTTAAAAATGACTACTCGCTGCTCTTCAGAACTTGTTAGCAGTATTAGCACAAAGTCATGGTGAATATTGCAGTGCTCACCTTTTATCTACTGTTAACAAAAAAGTTAAAAAGACCTGATATTAAAGTCCTTGAACAATGAAAGGCCATTATTTATGGGCAGCATTAAATTAGCAACTGCTGCTCTGTCTGTAAACTTCATTTTATTTAGCTCTTTGCTGAGTGGACTGTACAGGAACACTCTGTGGGTGTTTGAAGGGCATCATTTTATTTATCAACAAACCTGGAGCTGCTCTCTTTGACAAGGTACATTGTTTAAAGCAGGACTGTGCCTTGCTGCAATCCCTCAGGCCATGGCAGCGAGACTTTGTGCCCTTCCTAGTAAAAGCAGAGCCCTGGCTTCGTGGGCAGAGGATTTCAGGGCTTCCATGGCCTCTGCTCTCCAGGACCCTGTGTTCAAAACCTCTTAATCTGTTGTGTGTGTTGGTTTTTTATATTCTAGCCAGCATGCAAAACTGGGAACTGGAATATGCAAGAAGCAGTTTGCTATGAACCCCCCACTTGAATCTGGAGCACTGGCCACTTGGTGTGCTGGTACTGAACATCTTTAATAACAGGCTGTAAGCGTGCAGGGCGAGGTTCAGACTCAGAATAACATTACAGGAATGTAGCATCTGTCTGACATCCCGGATTGGACAAGTATCAAATGAGGAAAGTATGTCAGCATGTGTCTTGCTCAGCATCGCCGTGCTTTATGAGGATAAGCTACCAGGAATGGGTGCTTTTCCACAGATACAGAGGTGATAGAATAGTCCCGTAGGTTTTCTGTGGAGGGCTATAGGTGTGTGTTCCCTCTGAACCCCTTTAACAAACAAGGGCCTTGGATGATGAATTTTTAATTCTCTAGGCTATAATAAATGGAAAAAAAACCCAAACAAACAAAAATCAACAAACCAACAGTGATTGACTATGTGCTTAATTATGTGCTAGCTGCAATATTGGGCAGTTACCAGGGGGAGGCCAGAATGAGTATTTGGGACAGAGCTGCCTTAGGGTGCGCAGCTTTTGTGACAGTTCCTGCCATAGCTTTGCCTCTTTTATTCAGTAAGGACAGCTTCTCTTCCTCCTCTGAAACCATGGCCAGATCTTTGCTGGGCCGCTGGCTGGGACCCAGCCTCCTAGCACCAGCAACCTGTCGGACACAGTCTGTACGTGTGTTGATGGCTGGTGATGGCAAACTCTATGTTCAGTTCCGTCCCAAGAGGAGGTCCCCGGCAGAGCATGGATACCTGTTTACAAGGACTTGAGTGGTCACCTCCGTTCTCATATGCAGCGTTGGAAATTTGTACCGGGTCTCGGGGAGAGCGGTGGGCCTTTCACTTGATGGAAGTTTGACCCTCCTGCATGAGTTCCTCTCTGACATGCTTGGAGTAATTCTGGCTATGTTTTCTTCTAGGAGGACTTTCGTAATAAAGTTGAAGATTACATTAAGCGCTATGCAAGATGATGAAGGGAGATGGATGGCAGGACCATGGCTTCCACACTAGAGTTGTCCTTAACTTCAACAACAACAACAACAAAACCAGCCTGGATTGTACTAGTCCTGTGTCCATGTTGTACTGACGAAGAAAACTAACTTCATAACTTGTCCATGTTAAAAGGAGAGTTCAGCATAAATACAGCAAGAAATTGTGTATGTTGGTTGAAAAAGTTGTTTGCTTACTTTTAAAAATGTTTACTCTTCTGAACTGTACTGTATATCCTGTTGATGAGATATGCTTGAGAAGTTAAAAGAACTTACTATTGAAATTGTAATTACACTTTTTTTAAGCTCTTGCCTAGTTTGGAGGGGGAAGGAAAAAAAAGAAGAGAAAAGGTGACGTGTTTTTGGAACACTTCAAGTTGGCAATAAAATAGTCTCCTGTGAACCAAATCACAATACTGTTGCCTTTGATGAGCAGAAACGATACAAGCTTTTTCCAGGAGTCATTCAACTAATGCTTAGAGCTTGCCAGAATGCAAGTGCTAAATGAAGTTCTACTTCTGGTATTGAAATTCTTGATTATATTTAATGTATGTTTTTGTCACACATTTGGAATTTTTACATTATTATTTTCACCTCCTGTTTGGCTACAGTATTTTTTTTGTTTCTATTTGTTGTGTGTAGTTAAAAGAAATATAGGCTAATAGAGAACTTAAGTAAATGTGTAGTATTAGTAAAGTTATATATATATTATATATATATTTCTGTGAAAATTTAATGAAAGGGAGATTTTTTTTTTTAAGAAATCTGCCTTTGGCTTTCTGATGTGGACGTGGTGAGGGAGCATCAGACACTCTCTGATCTGATGAAAGTAAATTCAAGCACCATTACCTGGAGAATACCTAATTGTAGTCTTCAAACTTCTGCACTGAAAGTGAATGACTAATAATGCAGCTGAGAATGATAACGCACTGCACCCTCCTTTAAACACTCGTGCACGCCTGGATGTTTTGGTGATTTCAAAGGATATGATGCTATAATTGCTTTTCCTGTAAGTAGCTGTATATCGAACACATAGTATGTGCAAGCAGAAATCCTTCAGAAGAGAGTAGCATGTACTTCAGGAGTCACTTCAGAGGACATGCCATGAGCTGCCTGCTGCCTGTCGTGTGCCAGAACTCCCCCTGCTCACTTGCTGACCTGGGCAGCTGGGGCTGCCGAGACCCAAATGCATTTTGCTCTTGGGATCATGGAGAGGAGGTGCAATGGAACAGATTTAAGCTTTTATAAATAGATAAACCATAGAAATAAATGTTTGTGTGGTTTCATACAGACCAAGTGTGTGTGTAACTCTTGGGCATGGACTGTTGGTTTTTTATCCCCCAAATGATTGTGCTTCATTCTTTCCACTGCAGACACTGAAGGAGACCGAAATTGCCTCCATCATTAGCGTGGCAGAGCTGGGTTGCGAATTTTAAGCACGATGCAGCCTTCCGTGGTAAATTTTCCCTGTGCCTTTTCCCAGTTTTTGCATATTGAGTCAGAAGGATTCTGTTATTTTCAAGCTGAAAGCACAGAACCAGTTTGCTTTAACAAAGATGACCCCACTCTGTGAGCCCTCCCAGCCCCCCCCCCATGCCTGGGAGCCCCACTGGGGGCCAGCACTATTGGGGGGGGGGCTCT